TCTAGAACAGAACACTGAATAAATTACAGTTGCTTTCTATTCCTATTTCCTATAACTTATTTTTTAAAATTATCGTTGCCGTTTAATTTTAAAATATAATTTTTTTGCGATTGTTGTTAAACGTTTCCCAACAATGAAAAAATATTTCAACAACTATATATTTTGCTTTCCTTCATTTTCAAAAATCGCTATTAGAAGTAGTAAGTAGTACTTAAATATTTCAATCGTTCAACCTTGGCAAGCAAAAATCAAGTTCTTGTAACAAAAAATTTCCATAAATGTCCACAACATTCGAAAGTTGGCCACTATTGTTTCCTGAACATTAGATACTTCAATTTTCTTCAAAATAAAATCGAATGGCTTTTGGATGCAATTCTCTTCCAACTATTTAATGAATTTATATGTCTGCACCCCATCACATAAATGAAGTAATTGGATAAACAGGGGTTATGGCCAGCTAACAGTCCCGATCTCAATCCATTAGAAATTGTGAATTCGGTGAAATGGTGAAAAGAATATAGAATAAATAAATAAAGTGAGGTAAAATTAAGTTATTTGTTATTACCGTGTATTGGTGGTTATGTTGTTGTCGAAAGAAATGAGGAAAATTTTATTTTCCTGAGCTATTTTGAGAAAGTTAATTAGGTACAACCACTAAAAAGTCACACCCATGACATAAATTTGCAAATAACAGAATATTAGCGAAATCCAAAAGAATTTCTTGTCAAATAAAGTAAAATATACGGGGCGTATATGGACTTGGATTTGCAACTCATTTTTTATTCTATAATTACCAAAAGGCGATAAACAACAAAAAAAAACTGAACTTTTTGTATTTAAAGTTTTTTTTTGTAACCCTTCAAGATTTGGTTGTAGGTATGGTACAAAATATAAATGCCCTGTACATTTATAGGTGGTTTTCCATGAATAACCTTTTCGCTGACGGAGTTTTTGATCTAAAATATCGGGTTTCTCGCAACGAACAACTAATAGAAGTTTTATGAGAAACAAAATAGATATTGTAACGCAAAACATAAAAACGCGAGTGAGCAAACAAAACGTATTCCAGTTATTATTAATGTGCCTGTGGTTGTAAGTTTGTAATAAAAGAGTGGGATGATGTGAATTAATTCAGTCATTTTGGACAAGTTATTATTATTATTTTCTCTAAAATGCTAGTTAAAAAAGGTTTAAATGAATATACAGACTCTAAATTACAAAGGGTTTTTTTTTCACAATTGAAGAGTGGAAATGTTAAAGGAGGTATGTGCCATTTTTTAATATAATAACATTTTGCGTTAGAATTGTCGTACGTGACCCGCCGCATGTCCTGAGAAAAGAAATATGTGCCTATCGTAATGATTAATCTGCATTTGCCTTATTTTTACGAAAACCGGCAATTATAACCATTGCTGTAAATTTAAACAGTTTTTCTTGATTACATCAAAAATGTAATTTTCGCACATACCACTCTTCAATTGATCTTGAGTTTGGTTTCCTCAAAAAATACAAATGGGTAGTTTTAAAACTTAAACATTTCGGAAAATAGTTTTCAGTCTTTAGGCTTACATTCTATTAACTTTAATTTATTCCTTTACATTTTGTGAATTATTATTTTGAAAAAAATTTAGGAAAATCACATTGCACAACTGCTTTAAATTTAAACTAGCTGTGTCCATCTCTTACCTGTTTTCAAATCCCCTTGAATTTAAATTTCCCAATAATTGAAAGACAATGACAAAATTTATGATAAAATTATTATTTTAAAGTAGGTTACTTAGGAAAATCTAAAATAAAAGCCTCAGTTTGACATCCCCTGTCTTGGTTATTATCAACATTTATACTAAGGTAGGTTCGCCTAAATTTTTACCAACAATTCTGTACCCTGTACGATTAATTATGGGACACCCTATATCAATTCTGGTATCGTTATACCAATATTTGTTTCTTCCTTATTTCGAGCATACCATTAATGCTTTTTGCATTATAATAGTGTTTACAGATTGTTAATTAATGTATAATAGGTGCTCCTTAAATATTAATTGATACAAAATATATTAATGGTTGATGTTTACTAGGCGTAGAATGAATGTACTAGGACATTAATACATGTCATAGGTCATTAATGTATCCCGATTAAAAGTATTGCCCGCTAAGCATTAATATTACGTTCTTGCACATTTAATAAAACTTTAGAAGCATTAAGTTTTGAGAATCGGAACAAAATTCTTGCAAAAAAAATCTGTGTGTTAATGACTTCTTTATTAATATTAGGGACGTTTTTCGTTGTGTGAAACGGATCATGACAGACTTTCACGCTCTCTATCTCATTCCATTTAAGGGGCCTAAAGTTCTGCGTATTCGATCAATTGATTGATGAACAATATTTATGAGAGTTGATTTTCTGTTGCCCAAAGTTTGTCTATTAAAAATACCTTCTCGTGTAAATTTGTACTCATCAGTCCAAATTATTTTACGCAAAAAATCTGGGTTCTCTTGGCTATGAGTTAGGAATATCTCGCAAAATTCTGTACTCCGAGCAAAATCTTCTTGATGGGGAACGTACACGGTATAAAAATTTACAGGGGTACATTACGTGCTGTTTGAAAATCCTGTCAACGGAATTTCTTGAAATACGTAAATCTTTTTCACTGCGTATATAAATGCTTCAGGATACGAACTCTCGCAGGCTTAATACTTTCATTCTCTAGAAATTTTTTCTTGAACCTTCTGAATTATTTATATATTTTATTGATTTATTTAGATATACTGTTCAACATGATAAACCCAACTACAGAACAGGAACATAAGTGACAAATTAAAAAAAATGCTAATACATTGTAGAATAAAACAAAAATAATTCTATGCCATTCCTTGAACAACATGTTTTAACGTTGCGTACAGAAGAACAGTTGCACAGATCGCACATTCTGTGGAAAGGGGAAAATTTTGAAATATTCTTATGCGGCGTAGAAACCCTGGAAACACCAAGGTTCAATTTTGATAAGAGGCCTGGGTCAAGAACCTGATTATGAATAATTTTGTACAAGAATACCGCCGAGTGTGAGTTATGTCTATTACGAAGCGAAGTATTGCTGATATCAATTGGGGGATACTTATTATCATGCCTAAAAACCATTCGTTGTACAGATTCCAGCTTCCTTGGAGTTGGTAAAACGGGCTCCATATAATATCACAAGTTTCTAAATCTGTTAAGTCTCGAGAGTTCCGTGCTATAAACCCGTATATTTTATTCGCGGCAGACACAGCAGAGTCAATATGTGGCGTGAAAGAAACTTCCTCAATCTGTATAATCATGTATTACAAATAAATTTAGAATTTCAGCAGAAATATATGGACTATTTTGGGGGGGGGGGGGGGGGAGCTAAATGATGATGGACATGAATGTTGTCTCGGATGAGTTCTGTGCGGAATAAGTATCGCGCACTACGTCTATTTTATCGTCGACAAAATCGTCCATCAGAGCAGTTAATTCGATTAACTATGGAACGTTTTCGCACCACGTTTACTCTTATTGACAACTCCAGAGACGCCGTACGGTGCGTACAGAACAAGCTATTGCTGCTGTAGAGCGTAGCATTGAAGAAGACCCGAATGAGTCCATCCGCCATCGAGCACAGGAATTGGATCTGTGTCCATCCACTTTATGGAAGATTTTGCGGAAGGATCTTGGTTTACGTGCTTACAAAATCCAACTCGTGCAAGAATTGAAGCCAAACGATCATCAAGTAAGGCGTAGATTCGTCGAAAATTTTGTTTAGCGATGAAGAGCACTTCTGGTTGAATGGCTACGTCAACAAACAAAACTGCCGCATTTGGAGCGAAGCTAATCCTCAAGTGTATGTCGAAACACCGTTACATCCATAGAAACTGACTGGTGCGCTTTATGGGCTGGTGGAATCATTGGTCCGTACTTCTTCAAATGGTGATCGGTATAGAGCTATGATTACTAACTCTTTCATTCCTGAATTGAATTACCATGATGTCCAGGAGATATGGTTTCAACATGAAGGCGCAACATGTCACACAGCTCGTGTCTCAATCGATTTATTGAAAGACACGTTTGGTGACCGCCTAATTTCACGTTTTGGACCTGTGAATTGGCCTCCAAGATCTTGTGATTTAACACCGCTAGACTACTGTCTGTGGGGCTATGTAAAGTCATTTGTCTATGCGGATAAGCCAAAAACGCTTGACCATTTGGAAGACAACATTCGCCATGTTATCATAATATCATTAATAAGGCAGCATGTAGAGAATTATTATCATTATTATTTCTTACTTAAGTAATTGTCTGTTTTATTAATCACTTCAAAAAATCGAAGTACGAATGCGAAATACTTAAACTCTGAGGTGAATTTTTGAAACCTTTATAATTATTTTTTATCACTTGCGGTGTCCGTAAGAATTATTAATTCTCTTGTCAAGGCGGTTGTTTGACATCAGTTGTAAAATTTCATTTCTTCGCGTGTGTGCCAAATTTCATTGAAATATCTAAACTGGTGTTACAGATATTCAAAAAATATATTTTGTTTTTGAAAACTTTATCACCCTGCATTTCAAAAGTTAAGACGTTTAAGACATATTATGTTTATATATCTTTTTAAAATGGACGTATTATTAGAAAACACCCTGTAGATAAAGATATTTATGTGGTTGCTTTTGGTTGGTTTCGTTTTTACTACGTTCTTTATTGGCACGTTTTCTGTATTCGGAATTTTCATTCGACCTGGTAATTAATTATACTTAACGAATTAATTATCTTGTCATTGGATATTTTATCTATATTATAGTATATACAGCTTAATATTATTATTATGATTATTATTTTTATTATTATTATTAAACATTGCAAAAGCGAAAATTTTTAAATTGTGCGTCGGAGTCAATTATGGCCGTTTACCAAGTTTCACAACAATATCTATTTTTGTTTTCATAAGACTTCTAATGGACGGTCATAATGGGCAAACCCTGTATACCTGGCATGTTGATGGGAATATTGTTACCGTCCTGCTGGACGGTCAGTCCTTTGCCCGCGACCGCGCCTTTCTCCTGCTTCCTCCACTTCGCCCTGCGGTTCTGAAACCACACCTGGACCCGCGCTTCCGTCAGGTCTATCCGGAGCGCAAGTTCCTCCCTGAAGAAGACGTCCGGGTAGTGCGTCTTGTGGAACGCACGTTCCAACTCTTCAAGCTGGTAATTGGAAAACGTCGTCCTGTATCGTCTCTGTTTGCGCTTGGAACTGGAGGGGGCGCTGCTGACGACGTCATCTTCGTTCTGGTAATCTTCTAGGGGATCGCCATAGTCTAGATGAAAAACTAACCCTGCGTCTCAGATTTTTTTTGTTATTTATTTATCTACATTTTCCGAAACGAAGGTCTGCACCATACCAGAACAATTTACACCGTGATCTAAATTAAGTGTTCGTCTTTGAACACTTTGTTATGAGTAGAGATGCAACGTCGGTTAAATTAGTATATTTTTTACTTTAACGTTCGTAACTCACCAACAGAACAAAAAAGAGCATATGAAATATTAGCCTTAAATTGAAAATATCCGAATTATTAATCTGTCTTTTAGACTAGATGTCTATGAGTGGTTGCGAAGTAAAACTCCATTGTCTTTTTATTGTTTTATTTGAGCGTCAGAAACAATAATAGTAACACCAAGTTCCACGTCTTCATTTATTATAAAAAATTTTCGTTTCCTTCTTTTAACAAAAACGGTTTGATTTTTTCTAAAGATTCGTTAAAAGCGCAGAAAAAATTGTTTAAAGAAGGCTGTGCAAAATATTGACAGCCTTGTCAAATAGACTAGTTTTCACAAAATTACCTTTAATATGTTAATTATTAGTATTTTTATCACTCATTTAAATTAATTTTACTGAATTATTTATTCAACGACTTCACACATCAATAAAAGTGCGAGATGTTAGAATGCTATTTGGCATGCAGTAAATCGTTTGTAAGGGCAAGAGGTACATAAACCTATAACCACATCGCCTTCCATCATATGAACAATTTTTTCTGCGTCTTTGTCTAATCTTTAGCAATTATAAAACCGTTTTTGGAAAAAAGAAGGCGACGATAAAATTTTGTTATAAATGAAGACGTGGATATTGGTGTTCTTGGATATTTTGAAGCATATCGTGACAATTCTATTCGAGATATAGTCAAAGACTCAAACCTATCCATCCAAAGGATTTTAAACAAAAAACAACAACTCATGCACTTTGGACAGGAGATGCAAAGAGAAGACTTTTTTACTATTGGTATGTTAAATTCTGCCGCCAAAACATAAGTTTAAGATCAAGAGAAAATTTATTGCTAGTACATCAGCGAGGTCCACAAGTTTGTTTCAGCTTTAACATTTGATGCGATATGGCACATCAACTCATAATTTCCGAGGAGCATATCAATTTTTGACAACCATTGTCAATAATAAATGGATTGCTACACATGGACCTGTTCCTTGGGCTTCTAGGTCACCAGATATAACCCCACTTGATTTCTATATGTGGGGCTATTTAAAGGACGAAATTCATAATCAAAGATACCAACACATTGACGTTTTAAAGTGTGCAATAAGAGAAAAAATAAACCAGATAGATGGTAGAATAATTGTAAAGGCAACTCGCTCGATAGAAAAATGTGCTAAAAAATGTTTAAAGTACAAGGTGCTCTTTTTGGACACCTCTTTAAATAACTTTAATAGTTAATAATAAATTAGAGTTTTTGTATCTTACGCTTAAATAAAACAATAAAGGAAAAATGGGATTGGATTTCGTGAAAATCTGAACTTTTAGTTCTTATTTATTTTGTTAAATGGATTTTTATCAAGCCAATTATCGAAAGTTTTGGCGAGCATTGGAAAAAATATGTCTTTTTTCTTTTTTCTTCAGATTGAATATCATTGCACACCTTTGACATTTGACCATCCTATTTGTAATTGCTTGTTGTTAGTTATTTCCAGTAAGACCTTGTGACGAACATAGACACTTGTGAAGTGTAAGCTAACGAATGAAATAAAGGACATTTCAGTACTCAGTACGTCTCAAATCTTCAAAACATCAGTGGCATACCACGATTTTATTTATAAATATCCGTGACGACAAATAAAAGTCAACAAACTATCTCAAAAAGATTTAAAGCCCCCCATCTCAAATGCAAATACAGTATGCAATACAATGCAAAGACGTACTTATTTTTAGCTGATAAATCATTTAAAATTATTTCCCAATATACAGGATGATTCATAAACATATGGGAAATCGAACTTTTATTTTTTAAATATAGGCTTGTGTTTAATATCCAATATTTTGTCTCAATAAAGACTACTATTAATATTATTTATTATTATTATTATTATTATTATTATTAATTTTTAACTTTGGGAAAAAAAATTCTTTCAATCTTAATTTTGAAATTCTGCTTTTCTTAAAGCCCATAATATTATTGAACTATAAAATAATGTTTTCGGACGTATCTTTTAGTGAAAAAACATATTAGTATTATTTATTAATAATTTAATTAATTTATTAATAATAATTAAGTTCTTTTGTTTTGCAGTTTTGTTCTTGGTTTTTAGTGTGGAACTGTGTGAACTATTAGCAATATTAAATATTGAATTTTTAATATTATCCCCGGCATAAAATACTGTTTAAATTGTTTCTCCAAAGTTGTGCAGTTCATAATTTTATTTTTGTGTAAATCTCGGATTTAATAAATTATTTCCGCATTACATTTTGTAATCACATGTAACGAATGCGTTTATCTGAAAAAAATCTATGTTGAGGTATAATTTATTTTGTTCTCAATTTATCAATCTTTTGTGATATTTTCGCACGGTTTGATTTTTTTTTATATTTTGGTCGTAAAAATGTATATTCCTAAAAAATACTAAGTTTAGGTATAGGGAATGCTGTAGCGAAGTTTGATGGAAATCATAACTCGTCACACTACACGTCCGTGTTTAATCAAATGTATGTCGAAAACAAAATAAAACGTTACATGATGAAGAATTAGTAACAAAAGTAAAAACTTCCATGATGCATTGAGAACGAAAGATAACGTATCTGACGACAGTTGTCAAAAGTCCGCGTCACGACTATCTATGGTCGGTGACCGTTACAATGCTTAAAATTGAAAGAGCATTAATAGGAATATTTAATGAAAGAATAATTCGTTTTTTTCACGAAAAATAGTATTTTTCATTTTGACTCACATTATATAAACGATACCAACTAACTTCAAGGCAAGTATAGGATAAATAACTGTACCACTTTGTAAAATGCGTAAAACGCAAACGCAAACGTAAAAATGTAAAACGGCGTCTAAATATATATTATATTAAACACATGGCATTTTTTTATTCATTTTAAAAAATGCTTAAATATTCAGAACTGTTAGCTGTGATTGCCAAGTATATCTTGGTGGCATCTTGCAAAAGTCTATAAAGAGTCACAACAAATCAATGTCAATTTTGACAAAAATAGTATTAAACACTTGGGTGATTGAGTATAAAAGGAAGTATAAGTCAATGCATGGTGTTCAACTTTAAAAAATACAAATGTGGTTTCCCACATATTTATTAATCAAGCTTTATATTTGAAAATAATGTTAAATTGTTTCTTTTAGTCTCATCTAGTCACATTTTTCTCTAAAACAATTAATAAACGAGAAATATTACTTTAGCACACAATTTGGACAGCCTGTGTAAAAAACTGGATCACTCAGTAAGATAGATAATTATCGTATAATAGTAGCATCAACCTTGTCAAAAATAATAGAATTAGTGCAACTGTGGAACTTGTCAATTTCATCTCCACTGCCATTGATAATAAAAAAATTAAGTGGAAAGCAAACCATTTCGATTCAAAAAAAAATTTTTTTTTAATTCATACGCATTATTATGAAGAAAGGATTCTTTTTATTAGTGTACATTTTTTTCCGAACGTTCCCCGTATAAATTAAGCTCTATCCAACGACGAGCGGCCTAATGCGGGTCGCGCTGTCACCCCCCGACGAAAACTAAATTAAATTTCCATTTTAATTTAATAAAAAGGGACGCCCCAGCGGCGTAATTTAATTATTCGATAATTAAATTTTTCCAATTTTCGCGGCGTCGCGACGCAAAAAGGACGTCGCGGCCCGTCGGCACCGACGTTTGCGAAATGTCAAAAAACTAATCGCGAAAATACCGTCTTTTTCGTCGTCGCGCTCTTTGTGTTGCATGTCGCCGAATGTGTTCAAAAGTCCGCCGATCGAGGTGTAATCCGGGTTGCCTGCGCCGAAGGCACTCATCGTGTTGAATTCTTGCGCGTTCTTCTCGACGCTGCCGATGTCCATCGGGATTCCAAGCGATACGCTAAAAATTACGAGTGAGTTTAAAGCTTTGATGTCTATTTTGAGCATATATTACACAGAACAATAATTTTTAAACATTTCAAAGTTTATTTCGACGTGAAATTTGATTCTGTATAATATAGGCCTCCTAAATTTAAATCTGATAAGCATTTTCCTCTATCACGTAAGATTTTTTTATCAACATTAAAAGAATTATTAAACGAAAATCTGGGTTGGTTTCAAACTTTATTTTTGTTTGCACAAGAATAAAAACCGAATTCAAAAATCTAAACTAAATAACAAAGTCTCAAACAATAGTGAAGTCCATTTATTTTTGCCGTTTAGTAGATATTTTTGAACGCATTTTTAATTCTCAGCAGTAATCTACCAACATTGCGACGTTCCATCGACATTGGTAGTTACCTTCCACTTCTTTTATATCTTGGTGGAACCTCTCACCTTGTTTCTCACTCACAGCATCAAGATTTTTCGGAAAGTAGTCCAGATGTGAGTGTATGCCGTAGATATCTCGTGTTTCCGTAATCGGCCTTGATGTATCATAGGCCTGCGATCGATTTTCGTTGATTTTCGTTTTGCCGAAGACAGATAATAATTTTCCTCAGTTCATCGTCTCTGGTTTTCTCGCTTGTGAGATTTAGCACTCAGATATCTATTGATGAGTGCTGGTTTTCTTTAGACTGTGTGTTCTAAGTGGTTATTTTCGGTCTTTGTAATGTAATGTAATATGTAATGTAATTGTGAATTGTCTGTCTAGGAATAGTTTCGGAATTTTAGAAGCTCCTTCTTGCCAAAACACCATACGAAAAATACGACATCAACATATCTTGTCTATAGTTTTGGTTTCAGATTTGCTGTCTCTATTGATTTCTTTTCGAAGTAAATCATAAAGGGGTTACCTATCACAGATGAAGGAAATTCTATAGGTCTTCTTCTAGCCCCCTCTCTTTAATCTCTTTATCTATACCTTCCTACAAAGCTTCTTGTTGACCTTCTTCGTTTTCTTCTTCCATCGGGTGGCCAAGTAAATATTTAATAAGGAAGTCATTTTTCGCCAGTCCTTTAGACATGCCTATACCGTCGTAGTTGCTTTGTTTGCCCTACGTTTATGATGGAACGAATTGTTTCATTGTGAACGCTTTCCAATTTTGACTTTCCTGCTGCTCTTCTGTCCGTCTCCGTTGCTTCTAGCGCTCTAATGATGTTTCCTTTTACTTGCCAGACTTCACAACTGCATGTACCTATGCTTTTGATGAAGGTGTTATATATAATATGTTTGTTCCTAATCATAATTTTTTGATCCCATAGGATGTTGTTTAGCATGGCCTTGGGCGTTCCTTTCTTTGATTCCATTTATTTATTTACACTTATACGCTTGGTATGATTGAATGACCAGTCCATTTCCCAGCACCATGTCCCGGTGTATTCCGCCTGTGCACATATACTCGGTTTTGGATAACTTCGAATCCCCTCTTCTATCAGCTTCCAAGTCATATATTCTAAATCATCGTGCCAAGACAATTTGATCATCTGGGAAACTAAGAGTGTGCAGGATTGCATTGTTAAGGGAGATGCCCATATTTTCCGCATTTCCGTTTCCATATCTTGTTTGAGGTATATCTGAGTGGTGACAAACAAAGGCCCTGTTTAAGAAGGCCCTTGTCTGGGGTATTTTTTGATCAGAAAGTTAGATTAACCCTTTCCGGCCAGTTCTTTTTGCTGAGCCAACCAACCACCAACATCACTAAGGGTATCTTCATCTATATCAGACTCAGACTTCTTCTAAATTGGATAGATTCTCAGGTCTTGAGATACCTGGGCTATGTGGCACTGGCATAATTGCAGTATTAGTATTATATCCTCGAACATTGCACTTGCACAAATAGCTGTGATTTGTTGGCTCTCTCCATATCTAAGTTATTCCAAAAGACCTGATCCCACTATTATAACGTATTAAACCTTCTTCACATATCTTAAAAACTATATCGACTTAATGTTTAGTAACTTTAGAAATGTTACTGTGACAATGTCTCCGGATACTTTCGTGACACAAATGTATCGATATTTCAATTGAAACAAACACACTAGAATCCTTTACGACAAAATCGAATTTTGAAAAACTTAAATATAGATATGCCAATTATGATGTAATAAATGGTGAGTTCTCACTAGTGTCGCGTGTAAATCTTTTCAATGATCGAAACGTTGATGACTTTGCCCATGTATTTTACTCTACAAAATTGTTACAAATAATGTTTCCAAGAAAAAAACGAACAAGATCCGATTCAATATGTCTCAAGCACTAAGGAAGAAAGTTAGAAAGCAGAAGTACAAACTACACCAAAGATGGAAAATCCTATTGATTATGTCACTTTTTCTGAACTACGGAAGAGAGTTAGGGCAGCGATAAGTGTAATAACGTCCAAAATGCAGAAAATAATCTTTAAAAAAACCAAAAGTCATTTTGGAGTTTTGTAAGTAATAAGAGGAAAGTAGTGAACATGCCAAAGTCTGTAACGCATCAGAGCAGCACTTATAATACGTAAGGGCGTACTATGAGGCGTTTTCCGGTTTTTTGTACTTAGTTACTTTAAACTCTATTTCTGAAAAGCAGGTTAGAATTAAGTTAAACAAATTAGATATAAATAAAGGCGAATTGCCTCGATCTTTTTTAAATCTTGTCTTTAATAAAAATTTACGAGAAGGGCACTTCCCGACTATTTGGAAATGTGTCAAAGTAGTAACTATTCATAAGACTGGCCGTAAGATTGATATCATAAACTACCGACCCATGTCAATTCTTTCTATACCAGGCAAAATGCTTGAGTCAATTATAAAAGAAGAGTTACTTTTCAAACTTAGATACGTTCTTGGTGAAACGCAACAAACAGGAGTAGGTCCGTAGCTACAAATCTCTCACTGTATGTTCAGGATGTGTCTGTGTTACAACCTTAAGTTCAGTAAATTACAAAATAGCTTTTGATTATAAATTCAATGTATTAAAGTATTAGAGAAGCAACACATATCAGGGATCGTGTAGTAACTATAGATACAAAACTGAGTTTTAAAATTCATATTGAAAACATAGTGAAAAATTCTTAGGTTTTATTACAAAGGTTAGCAAAGTAATTAACGATCCCAAGTCGCTGGTCATCCTCTATAACGCCTATGGGCGGTCCCATCTTGAGTTTGCCAGTATGATATGAAGTCCGCAATATCATAAGTATGTAAACAGAATTGAAAGCGTTCAAAAAAAATTATTTTTCTCATGAACTTTAGGTACTAACCACAATAGATGTATCGTATGAAGCAAGCCTTGACTTCCATCATATGTTGATTGTTGATGTGCGAATAATAATATATATAATAACAATAATATTCTATGCGCCCAAATTTAGGAAGTAACTCGCCACTTTTGCAAAGAAATTATAAGTTACTTTTTGCACATAACCATTTTTGCTTTGTCACTCAATTCATTTAAGAATCAAGCAATAAGAGTGTTTCGCTACGACTAAATTGTTTTTCTTTTGTATGGGTTTAGAAATAGTTTTGCTTATTCTTTTGATTTAAGATAAATGTACTTAGTTTTAGTTTACCTTTGTAAATTGTGACGTTATTTCGTCATGTTGGGGTACCTTGTTATAATAAATAAATGTGGAGAACAAGGTTTGTCTTGCTCGCCAATTTTTACTTCAAAATAATTTCTTGACCTCAAAAGAAGCACACACATAGGAAAATGTATCTGGAATATTTTTACAAAGTCTGTTGCAATTTACAAAAAAAATCCTTAACACATTTGTACGTATATATAATCAAGGTTAAGTCCAGTCATACCAATTGTGCAGCTACGTCATAGCATGGCATCTTTATCTAGTTCATTACTGGATGTCGTAAATTGACACAGGAATTTTGTTTGTCACTTTTGAAATTGTTATTTATGGTTATAATGGCATTATAGCTAAGACATACGGATCATGTTTGATCGTATGAAGTATCAATACGTGATGTAGCGCACAACTGCCCCGACTGGACTATAGATGGCATTGTTTACATTGTTAACTTAATGACGAGCTGAGTCAATGTTGCCAAGTGCCGCAGTATAAAAAAGTATAGATTAATTAGAAATTTTATTCGATGTGGGTTAACAAAATGTCGGGCTATCAATGATAGCCAAAATGGAACGCAACGGTGTGAAATTTGTAGTAAATAAACTAAAAAAAGTTGACACTTTTTTGGTTATTGTTTTGAGCTAACACTGAATTTTCGAATTTCAATCAATATGACTGGAGCGCCAAGTGTTCGAATATATATATATATATATATATATATATATATATATATATATATATATATATATATATATATATATATATATATATATATATATATATATATATATATATATATATATGTATATATATATATATATATATATATATGTATATATATATATATATATATATATATATATATATATATATATATATATATATATATATATATATATATATATATATATATATATATATATATATATATATATATATATATATATACGCATAAATAATTAAAATAATCTAATTTTAAATAATTTGAAATGATAAGTAAAAAAGTAATGGTTAGAATGGAACCACCCTTGCGTATTTATTTTCTTATGTCCGTGCAATATTAGTGATTAGTATTATTTATTGTTGTAGATTTCCAAGAAATGCTGAAGCGCTGTCGTCCTGTGTGGTGTGCGTTACTAGGATTTGCAGAAAATAAAGTCCTACAACCAAACTCTGCAATTTGTAACGACGGAATAAAATTTTTAGAACGAGATGTTTTTCCAAATAAATTATTTAATGCTAAACTTTTCGGGTCACAAAAATAACACTTGATTTGACTATTGAATGTTGTGTTTTATTTTTGCTTCTCCCTCGCCGTCTCTTCAAAGAAAACGCCATTTCTCATAATTCAGAAATTTTTCCTTGAACAGACCAAATAGATATTACAAATGTTTTTTTCATTAAGGTCCTAGTTTTTCCAAAAATTCACTTCCCCAAAAATTATCTGAGAAAGAAAAATGAGAATTGTTTGAAATTTGATCTGAATTGATATTGTGTTTGAATCCACACAGAAGTTACTTTAATATTTCGAATTTACTGTTTGTAATAAAACTATGACAATTTTGATATTGTACGAAATTATTCTCGGGAATTAACGTGAATGCAAATATCTCGTGCTGGACATGACCGGGGCTTGTCACCGATTCCCTATAATCCACAGAGTAAGTTTTTTATGTATTCAAGAGTATAAATAAATAGAAATTTTACTCAATATATTCGCTAACAAATATTTTGTTAATATTTTCCAAATTGCAGTCAATCATAACTTATTTGAGGTCAACGATACGTCAGAAATATTAATTGATTTATCACTAATTTCGATAACTGACAATATTGATGCAACCAAATTATTGAGAGATTTGTATCATCAAAAGCATTTTAATACCGGAAACAAATGTAGTTATCAGGAATGGTAATTTGGTGCAGCATTTGTGAAATCTATTGACATAGGTAAAATAAAAATAAATATGTATTTCATTTTGTTGTTTGCAATACTAGCCATGTTGTATCTGTTTATATAAAACTAAAAATTATACATTTTCCAAATAAACTTCCATAGGCTACTGTAATACAACAGGATGATTGGCGAAACGTTACCAAGTTCGACTCAGCAAAAACCGACGCAGGAGGAATCCAGAAGTTTTATAAAAAACAATCTTCTTTTTTACTAGTTCGAAGTATACAAAATTAAAACTAGCAAATCTTTTTGATAACCAAATTTTCTGATTTTAGTATTTCCTTCCTGCTACCACGTTTAGCGTAAATTATATTTAAAAAAAGTTGCCTATAGAAAAGTGGAAGGCTTCAAACTGGGATTCTTCGGGATTCACTTGTTATTGTTGCTTATTTTCGAGAAAAAAAAAACACTTGAACATCAGAATTTTGTAAGTTTTGAGTAGAAATTGGCTGAATTGGCCGATTGGAGAAAACGGCTTGCTTTTAAATTTTCGTCTACAAGAATCTAAGAATAGCGATCCCCTATAGAAAAGTACACGTGATTTCCGAAGAAACCCATTTTAAACGCTAAAACTTTTGTAACATTTTTTGTAATCAAGGAATGAAATACTAAAATCAAGGAATTAGGTTTTTTCGAAGTGTTGGTCTGCCTCTGCTCATTTAATTTACAATCCCAGTGAAAAAGTGGCCACCATGTGCATTATTATATTATTTTATTATTTATTATAGCTACCATTATTTTACTGAAAAGAATATATGGCTAACAGATTGCTTTATTTTTTTGTAGCATCCTTCGCAAAAAAAAAACAATTCATCGCCTAACTGCACGAGAAAAACTACATGAAAACTAGGTATCAATATATATGGGATGTTTCAATATACACTCTAGAACGCTTGGCTCGTCATGGTTATTTTCCAATAGTTCCTTATCCTTATATCCAAAAGTTATCTAAAAAAACGGTTTGTGCAAAAATCCTTATACATAGGCTACAAGTCTGCAATTTAGCTAAAGTAAACACCAAAGAAGCCTTTTGTTTATATGTTCAGGTTAATTATTAATTAAAGTCATATTTTCCTACAAAACAAGTATTAATATTCGTTTTGCTACGTGCTGTGTGCATTTTGTGTGAAGTACATTTCTCAAGAACGATTTAAAGTACTTACCTTAAAATAAATAAACTATTTATGTAATAAATAATCTTCCACACGTCGTTCTATTGACAAACCCCGCGTCTGTTGGGGCGAGAATATCCATTTTTCAATAACAAAAATGATAGACGGCGCGAATAGTAAACGATCACCATTTCAGCGACCCCAACGGTTCTGTAAGATCACACTTTGCGTCGTTCCGATGCCCGATCATTCGTCGCCCTCGCTCTAATTGTGGACGTTACTAGCGCGGGAAGCCATTTCAAATATCCACGTTATGCGACGTTCGCCTGCACGTATTTCTACGATTTCCTCCGGTTTTAAGAGCATTATGTTTAACGCTCTCGCGATACGGGGTGGATGAGCTGTTTGTAAAATGTAATAGTAAAGCTTTCAATTCGGTAACCGATGTTAAAAAATTAAATCAAAATTCGCAAATACTGGCCTTTATTTTAAGCATAACTGTTTGTAGTTTGCGACATACTGTGCGCCCATCGTCACAGACCATAAAGAAATCTGTGAAAAGTCATGTTCAATCCGACGTAAGGACGTTATGTCAAATATGAGAAAACGTCGAAAATCGCAAAATGTCGTCATCCGCTACGTGATTTTCGGTCATATCGTCGATGTTTAAGCCGTTAGCAAGTAGCTGCGTCGTAAATAGCCGAGCCGGTGTATTTATTAAGAGAATCCGATCGGATTTCCTCACGCTGCCGCGTCCCGAATTCGAACGTCAACGGACTTTCCCGCCGCGCGCCGAACAGCTGAACGCAGCAGCTGATCGCGCCAACTTCACTCTATTTACGTCAAAAAAACCCGCCAGAAAAACGGAACGGTCCGGTTTTCGCGCCCGCAGTCGCGATCGAGCCGGTCCGTGGTGAACATGAGCCGAGGTTTCTGCGATTTTCCCGCCGCCGACATGGCCGAATTCTATTGCGAATTGTCTCTGTACGAAGACACGACAGATTCCGGCTTCGCCGACGAAGTCCCCGACTTCAGTAACCTGCTGCACGGGTCCCTGCTGGTGGAAAACGACCCGGAAGCCTCGGTGTGCTTTTCTCCCGCCAAGGGCGACAACGGGACCCCCGGCAAGTGTTGGCTGACGAAGAAACGGAGGACGAACCCGTCGCCGGAGCCCTCGACGCCTTCCAAGGAGGCCGCGTTCCGTCTGAAGAGGTTGAAGATATTCGGTTTGGATGATGTAGCGTGTCGCGAGCACGTCAAGGAGGCGGTGGAGAAGTCGTCGACGGACGAGTGCGATCTGATCGGCGATTTTTCGAAGGCCTACTGCCTGCCGACGATCTCGGGCGCCCATCCCGATTTGAAAACAATCTCGGTGGACACAATGAAGGATTTAATCGAAGGCGTTTACGGGGACGTGCTCGCTTCTTATAAGGTTTGATGTAGCGGAAATTTGAATTTTATATTAACGCGTAACATCTCGCAGATCATAGATAGCCGATATCCGTACGAATTCGAAGGGGGCCATATCCAAGGCGCCAACAACTGTTACTCGAAGGAAGAGTGCCTGAAGCTGCTCGATGAGCCGAGGAAGCAGAAGGACGAACGACACGTGCTCATTTTCCACTGCGAGTTTTCTAGGGAGAGGGGGCCCAACATGTACCGCCACCTCAGGTAACTTCCGGTACTCCTTTTGGAGCGAGTCAATTAATACAGATTTTTGCGGCAACACAGGAAGGAAGACCGATTGAGGAACGGCGAGAACTACCCGGATCTCTGCTACCCCGAGATCTACGTCCTCGACGGAGGCTACAAGAGGTTTTTTGAGTCATACCCGCACCTGTGCCAGCCCGCCACCTACACAAAGATGCTGCATCCAGAGCATGAGCAGGACCTCCGGTATTTTCGTCAAAAGTCCAAGACGTCGGAAGGCGACTCCAAAACCAATGGCCGCAAACCCAAGGCGGTCCGGCGCTTCCTGTCCGACATGAATTAGGCCGACGTGTGTGTGGTGTTCGGGTATTCGTTTCTTTCTCGTACCGGGATTGATTTGAAGTTTTAGTTTTGGCGAAACTAATTTTTGTTGAGCCGTTCACCCCCCCCTCTGTGGTATGGGGCATGGTCCGAGTGAGGCGCTTAATTTTTCGAAGGTTGGAAATAGGATTAGACACATGCTTTTGCTTTCTCCCCCTGACTTGGTATTTATGTAATAAGGATTTCGACTGAAGAAACTTTGTACTAGCGAGTAGTTAATCCCATATGTGATGTTTAGTTTTAACAAAAAAAAGTTTTTTATACGACAAATTTTTAGTCTTAGATCGCTTGCGAACATGTGTGCAATAGGAGAGAAAAAAAAACAAAAACGATTACCCTTTTACGTTTCCCCGTGCAATTTGTTTAGTTTTTTATATATATGATTTTATGTTCCTGTAAAGTTTAAGTACTGAATAAAGAGATTTTTTGATACTTTTGTAATTGGGCGTTTTATTTCGCACAAATCACCCGGCTGTCTTGGAAAGTTTCAAAAGTTTCGGCGGGAAGTAGCAGTGTAACTGTTGTACCGCAAAAAAGGGTTATCTTCTGTTCGCTTGTGTTCAACGAACTGTAAAAGAATCCCAAGCCGGCGGTTTAGCGAGAGATGTGTCTTCAAGTTACTTCACCCGTCCCGCCCAAATAAGTTTCACGTGTTATTAGTAAATTCTTCGATAGTGGCGCTGCTTTCAGAAAACAAACGTCGCTGTATTGACCAACTCATTCTACCGGCGTAAGCGACAATAAAGCATTATTACTAGCTCTGTTAATATTTTTTGCGGTGAGCGGTTTGTCAAAAATGGCTCAAGAGCAAGAGCTTCGCTGCTTCTTGTCTTTGCAGGTCCATTTGCATTTCAGTCGTGCTCCTGCGGAGCAATATGGAACTTTCGCAAAATCAATGTAATTTTATAATGCACGCACTCATTATAAAGTGTGCTTCACTTCTGTACAGTTACGGCAAACCTTGATAAATATTATTATTGAACAAGTGCGGTAAACGGCATTTGACTCACGAGTTTATTTGACACGAGCGGAGCGAGTGTTCAATAAACGAGTGACTTAAAAAGTCCACCGAACGTGTTGCATACTATACTTTTTCTACGACCGTTAGTTTTTGGGGAACATTTTCGCAAAACACGAATACGTTCACTGACATTACCGTCAGAATTAACAAACCCGTGTGGTAAACAAAAAGTGTCCGAAGTGGCTCGGATTCGTCGGAAACGAAGCTGGAGTGGAAAAGTAACGCTTCCCGCAGGCTAGACTGGTGTGTCATTAGGTATTTTAAAAACCAAATTATCCCATTTTTACAATTTTTAATTTGCAGCTAATATTTTTCCCACAATAACGGCGATTTTCAGGCTCTTTCATTTTGCCTATAAAAGCAGAGGTTAATAGCCCTGGATCTCTCACGTTTCCTAATCCATGAATTTTTCCTATACCTATACCCTGGTTTTTTCTACACCCGTCTGTAAAATACCTAATTACCCACCGATCTAGCATGCGGGAAGCGTCACTTTATCACGTCAGTTTCCTTTCCCTCGAATCCGAGCCACTTCGGACATTTCCGGGATTTTACCGCACGGCTTTGGGAGCAATCAGATGTTTTCGGACATATTTCCCACGATTTGGATTTTGACGTTTGTCAATTCTGACGCTCATGTCAGTGAATGTATTCGTGTTGTTTTGCGAAAATGTACCCAAAAACTAACGGTCGTAGAAAAAGTATATAGTATGCAACAAGTGCGGTAAACGGCATTTGACTCACGAGTCTATTTGACACGAGCGGAGCGAGTGTTTAATGAAGGAGTGAGTTAAAAAGTTTACCGCACTTGTTGCATAATATACTATTCCCATATAGGTTTTCCAGAAAATACTTTTTTTTGAAACTATGTAGTACGTCGTAATGGTCGATTTTCATATGGATTTTTTTAAATATCTCGAGCGGCGTGTGTGATAGACGAAAACCGTAAATACAAAAATTGTTGCCCTTAATGCGAAATACAAAATAGTGCAAATAAGTGCTCCTCTAGGAGCAACAGTTACAGAGATTTCATCGATATTGCGAAAGTAACTAACGTAAAGATAATTGTTATATTTTATTGTATGTTGTAATATATTTTCCCGCCAGAATAAAATAGTTTAGCCATTTGGCGCCTAAAATTTAAGAGAACGAATAACTAATTCCATATCCGTGAATTGAAGGACGTAGCAGGTCACACATTGTCGTTTGCGGTTGGCCGCACTGACGAACCTAGCACAGAGAACTACGACCTTCTTCTTGTGGTGCCTATCCGTTACGAATGTTGGCGATCATCATGGCAATGCGTACTTTGTCAACTGCTGCACGAAAAAGGCCACCACGACCACTGGTGCAAAAAACTTTAGACGGATGCGACGACGACCTAATGACCCTGCGTTTATCTCTAACCGATACTGCCCAAATTTATCAGACAATAACACGGTGGTGGACAGACGCTCGAAATGCCTCGGTTTAGATTGTTTCTCCCGAAATCAGCAGCTAACTCGAACGTGCGGCGTTTCTGCGACACGTCTAAGGGCGAAACCACGCCCCTCTACAATTTCCACGTGAAAAATGGCGGAAAAATCGTCAACTTTGGCGGTTTCCTGCTGCCTGTGCAGTACGGCGACCAGAGTATCGTCGCGTCGCATCTCTTCACAAGGAAAAGCGCGTCGCTTTTCGACGTGTCGCACATGCTGCAGACGGAAATTAAAGGTAGGCACAGACCACAGTCCTCAATATTCTATAAGGGGCTTTAATTTTTTTGATGACGTATAAGTCTTTTTATAATCGCTTTCGCTGATTCTACAAATCATCAGCAACGCATTGGTATTAGTAAACCATAGTAGAGGACAACAAAACAAAAGTTGGCGTTGCTTAACTACCAGCCTATGACGTCACACACGCCGCAACGTGTCAAAAACGCAAACATTTCAGGCAAACACTGCATCGAATGCCTCGAATCAGTGTGCACCGCCGATATACGGGGGCTGGCGGATAACAGCGGCGTCTTGACCGTGTTTACGAACGACCGAGGCGGCATCTTAGACGATTTAATCGTCACGAAAATATCGGACGAACGACTGTACATTGTGTCGAACGCGGCCATGAGAGATCAAGACCGACAAATTTTGAAAAGCGCGTTGGTAAGCTACAAAACGGCAAACAAGGACGCGGAAGTCGACGTTGAATTTCTCCGTCCCTCCGAGAGGGCTCTGGTGGCCCTACAAGGACCGGAGGCTGCGCGCGCACTCCAGCGAATCGTCGACGTTGACCTGGAAAAATTATTTTTCATGAAGTCGGTAGTTGGCCGAGTCGGTGACGCCGATGACTGCAGAATTACGAGGTAACACTTGTTTTTGCTTGTGAATGAATCGTTCTCGCCGAACGATCCTCGCGAGCTTGGCCAATAACGAAAAAAAATGTGTACAGAATACCACTTAAGTTAATTATGCATTTCACAAAAAAAATGTTGGGCTAGAATGCTAGGATCATTCGCCCATTGCCGACTTCCGTTGAAGATCTTCGCTTTTGGTCATTCACCAATACGTACAAAGAAGACATATCACCAATATTTGCTCAACTAGCAAAAAACAAATTTGACCGATACCAAAAAAAAAAAACCGACACCCCCCGCTTCCGCCGCGGACCATCTGGGCCCATCCGGCCTCCATACCGGCGTGAACGGGGAAAAACGAAGGGATCGGCGACGATTATCACTTTACAACGTTCACAAAACACTGAAAACACTAAATCCACTCAGTGGAGACCGATTTCAAAATTTTTGGACGATTACAAAGGATTCTGTAGGGAACGAACGGAAGTTAAACCGCCGCGTGCAATGTTCCACCACAGAATCCAGAATACCACTTTTTACAATTTACGCAACAAAGGGCACATCTGGGGCCGTCTACGGTTGCTTTACGATGACATTTGACATTTGCGTAAAATTTATCTATTATAGTTTTGTAACCTCCAATCCAATATAAACACCAACTTGAATTTGCTGGTAGTTTTGGGAGTTGGATCGGCAATTTTTTAGGTGCGGCTACACGGGGGAGGACGGGTTCGAGATCTCCGCCCCCGCGCAAAAAGTGCAAAGCCTCGTGCGGACTCTTTTGGACGAGGAAACTGTAAAGCTAGCGGGATTGGGAGCCAGGGACTCTTTAAGGTAAGGAAAACATGATTTTTGCAGTGACTTTGGTCGATGTCGAATTTTAGGTTGGAAGCCGGCCTTTGCCTGTATGGCAACGACATCACGCCCGAGACGACGCCTGTGGAGGCGGCGCTCGCGTGGTTGGTGGCGAAACGCAGGCGCGAGTTGAAAAACTTCCCCGGCGCCGAAGTAGTTTTGCGCCAAATCAAAGAAGGGTAAGGTTCGGGATTCATCAATGAGTTCGAGTGTTAATTTAACTGCATTGCTTAGATCTGAGATTAAAAGAGTCGGTCTGACGCTGCGAAACGGGCCTCCAGCGCGGCACGGGGCTGAAATATTAACTGGCGAAGGCGAAAAAGTGGGACGCGTGACGTCAGGATGCCCATCGCCGAGTTTGGGGATGAACATTGCAATGGGGTACTTGCCCATCGCATTTAGCAAACCCGGCACCAAGATTGGGGTGAAGATAAGGGATAAGGTTTATGAGGGCGCGGTGACAAAAATGCCCTTCGTTCCATCGAACTATCACAATAAACCAAAGTAGGACTTGTTTGTTTTATTTTACATTAGATATCACACACGGAAAAAATATTAAAAAATAGGTTAACTTTTTTTATAATTTAGGCGAAAAAAAGGAACAAAGAACATATAATATATATATCTATATATACGTAAATCTTTAAACACTGAAGCACCAGATACTTTGGAGGTATTCTTAGAAGCTGAGACCCATACTTTCTCACTTAATACTTTGGATTGCCCCCCAACTTCACCTTAATCGCTCATCGAGAGCACCACCTCGTCCTCTGGCAAAGGAGACCTTTTATAACTGGCTTCTCCAACGAGGTAGAGTACCAAAAGGCCATAGAATATAGTTATGAGCCCAATGAAATTGTAAACGAAGCCTTCAGCTGGAAAATCAGCATAGTTTTTCCTAAAACATGGTTGACGTCTTACACGTGTCCACCTATTCAATCTGTTAACTTACAAAGTCCATAATGCCTTTTCGGTCAGCCCAGTTAAAACGCAAATGATCGCCAAAACGAACGTTAGAGTACCAACCACGATATGGATTGGCATTATCGCTCTTCTCAAAGTCATCGATATTCCGGGGTACAAAAACGATATGAATCCAAAGAAAAACTACAAAAAAGAGTTTACACTTACAGTATAGTCTGTAACTTAATGCAAGAGAGTTATAAATTATTATTGAACTGTAAAAGTTACTGGTCTTGTTCCATAAACGTAGTATTCTAGATTGTCAAGGGTTATGAGGGTAGTGGACCTCCCTGTGCCTTAAGTATTTAAAATTAGAATTTAAGTTACTTACCGGAAGTTCGCTCTCAAAAATGGCTTGTGTTACTGAAAAATGGTTTACTATAACTGCGCTTTCCAAAAATGAGAAATTTATTATTCTCAACATGTTCAAAGCCCTTCGCCATCGAAACTCAATATTATAAGTTGCAAAAGTGGTTCAAATGTCTTCAAATTTGACTGGAGTTGGACAGTAAACAATATGAGGATGATCAAAGAGAAATACGGGCAAAAAAACAAATACATGAGGATGGAAAGAAGGATGATTTCATCCCAGGCATGGGTAAGAAGAAGTTATGTACAACTATGCAGGAAATGAATTGTCGTTACGACAAAAACTTTTGAAATCACTTTAAAAAAAAATGATGAACTTATCTGCTGGCAGAGCAGATAGATAATTTCAAAGGAAAAACAGGATGGCCTATGATCTGGACGAAACTACATCTAAGTCTTCAGATTTCCTCTTTCAATCTCTCAATCTGGTGGATAATCCCCAATCTCTAAAACTTTTTCTGCGCCCCTGGGGATCCCATTGTAGTATTTGCTATTGAAGTTGGTTGGTCACTCTTAGTCATTGTGATGGCTCTTATTTGTCTTTTGGGTTGTTTCTTTGATTTCCCTGTTGATTCCTTTCTTTTAATACCCTATGCAGGGTTCTGTTATAGGTAATCCTTATTTCTAGGTACACATTGTTTGATATGCTGTCCATCATTGAGGATTTCTTGTCATATTCAATATTTCAATATTCTTGTGCTATTACCACCTGGTCATCCCCAAGGCACAGTAAAGTCCAGGACTTTAATATCTGCTCCAGGTGATAAGCAGCATTTCCATTTTAGTTCTTTATTGACAAGAAATCCTTGTGATATTTTGCCTACTATTTTAACTCTTGTTGTATTGTTCTCCTGAAGCTTTCTTTGGTTTTGTTGCTAGCGGCTTACTAGCTACTTTCAGCAAAGAAACTTCCACATGCGACTGTAGTACTTTTTACAAAGCTTCTGGATTTCTCCTGCATCGATTGTTGATTAATCAAACTTGCTGACGTTTCACCAATGATCCTATTGGCTTCTTCAAAGCTTAACGGAAACTGTTTCAGTTAAGCTCTGAAGAAGCCAACGTCATCAAGTTTGCTTTATTAACAACCGACGCTGGAGGAATGAAGAAGATTTGTAAACAGTATGCTAGATCTTAACCTCCCCTTCCTTAAAAAAAAAACATCGTATCCATTCATTGGCTTAATTTAAATACGAAGTAATTTCAGAAAGATATGCTACAAAAGAGCCTTTGGTGATTGTAAATATAAATAAATCTCTTTGTACCAAATTTGTTGTTGAAAATCGCTCTACTTTGAATTAAACCCCACGGTGCTGGAAAAAAGGGTTTGTAACAGGCCATAACACCCCTTTTAAAATTAGGATGCTGAAACTTTTTGGCAAGAGGGAATAAAGGCAGTGGATTGTTAAAAATCTAGTAAGTGGGTTGAACATGTGACTCAAGTAGAAAAAAATGTGGAAAACTGATAACATACTAGAAAACACTATAGATCCCTTTATTATTATTATTATTCCGGACTCCAACGTTTATAGTTCATCTGACTACTCAGAACATGATGACCAAAATTTACAAGTGAAGCTGTATTGTAAATAGTATAGTGTTGTTTTTACTTGTTTTAACATTAGTTTCATCCGTCAAACTCATCTTTTTATTGAAACAATTTGAGGTGCAATTTATCCGAACTTTAGAATATACTCTCTAAGTTGTCCACCTTATCATTACAAATTTACTTTTTACTACTCTCTTACATTAAGAAATATAAAATAACATTAAATACCTGAAGGGCGAAAATGATGACCGTAATGAGGCCGATCCAAGAATGCATGGTATAAAGGTTGGCGATGGGAGTAGCCGACAGATTATGGAAGTCAAAGACTGCCTTCAATCCGATCACGGATAAAATAAACGCCAACAAGTGCAAGGCACCATGCAGCAGTTTTAGTTTCTTTTTCTGCACTGACCTGCCCGTCCGGTAGACTAAGATGGCTGCGAAAACGTACCCATATAACCGTAAAAATAGCCGATGCGTAACACTTACACTGAGAATATAAAAATACCATGCCCAGCACCAACAGGAACGGGTGCCAGTAGAACTGTTGAGCGGGATTCGAATGCCAGGCGAAGCCCCCTCTGTAGTGCAGTATCCAGAAGAGCACCATCATGAGCAAGCCCACCCCTAATGAGGTGGTAAAGGAATAAATGGTCCCGTACATTTTGGTTTTTTGGTGTTCTGACCTGGCCTCCATTGTGCTTAAAATAAAATAAATGCAGTTACATTAGTAAAAAGTAATATAGATAAAACTATCCATTAGTCACGCTAATACCATAAAGCTATCACCGAAACGTCGTTAATCACAATTCAAAGTATAAAAATGCGACAGACGACAAAACTACATGACAAAGGTTAAAATAATACGAAATTGGAACGGCAAAAATAAAAAAAGTCACCTAGTGTGACTGGCAGCTGTTGCGTCTTCTTCGCGGTGCTGCGAAAGTAATGATTCGGAACTCATTTGCGCGATTTTGCTGCGAGCAACAGGTTGATCGATCGTCCTCGCTCGGACTTTCGCATTATCGGAAGTAATTGTTAAAAAAAAGCTGGCGCGCTATCGAGCGGCCTCCGTGCGTTTCGGTTGACCTCAGACAGGCACCGAACTCCAGGCACAATAGATTTTTTCAAAAGCTTAATTAAAACAATTAAAAGAGCTTCTTTTAAATATAACCACAGAAAACAAATTGGTAAATAGTGAACGTTCGGCTTTATAGGCGTTATCTCGCGGCCGAGAGTGAGAGTACCAGGCGAAATTAATGGAATCTTTATATCATCTTCTTCTCTATTCTATTAACCACATTGCTACAATCATTCGGCCATTTTGATTATTATTGCTCACCATGATTTAAAGAAGAAGAAATGACTGACAAGAGTGTATTTAATGATAGAAAGTCTGTTCCAAAAAATGTGAGGTTAAATATAATAAATAACATATTGTTATTAATTGCAAATAAGAACTATGAACACATTGGGCTTAAGCATGCTTTTAAAGATGGGTTGCATCTGTACTAGGGAGACGGTGGACATAAATGGTGTAAAATACGTTATCAAAGAGAGACTCGGCGAAGGGTGAGTAGTTCGCGTCGTGCGAGCGAGTTTTCATTGCATTAAAAATATGTAGAGGATTTTCGTGCGTGGACTTGGTAGAAAACACGTCGACCAAGAAGAAATACGCTTTGAAACGCATAACTTGCCACGGCATAGAGGATCAAAAGATAACAATTGAAGAGATTGGTTACCACAAAAAGCTCAGACATCCGAACATAATTGAACTGATTGATTCTGTTATCAAAGGTTCGGCGGATATAGTTGTCCAAACGACGTCAGAAGCGTTCCTTGTGCTTCCTTATTATCCCAGGGGCACACTGCATGATTACTTGACTATCAGGTCATTTTCTAAAAAGTTTTTGGAGGTTAGGGACATTGTGAGGCTGTTTTTAGAGATTTCCGACGCAGTAAGGTATATGCACAGCTACATTCCGGAGCCGATAGCTCACAGGGACCTGAAAACCGGCAATGTTTGCCTGACGGATAATATGGACCCTATTTTAATGGATTTAGGTAAACAGAATGTCAATGTTGGTTGTATCTGAGTCTGATGGTTGTAGGATCGTGCGCCCCGGCCAAAGTGCAAATATGTGGGGCGCAGGATGCTCAAAAGTTACAGGATGTTGCTTCCGAAAGGTGCTCAATGACATATAGGGCTCCAGAGCTATTTCATGTTGAGAGCTATTGTGTAATTGATCAGAGGACAGATATTTGGGTATATACCACTTTATGTTGAAGTTTAAGGAGCATTAATTCTTACGTCTTCAGAGTCTGGGTTGTATACTTTATGCCTTGCTGTATTTTAAATCTCCATATGATGTAGTTTATGAGAGGGGTGATTCTGTGAACCTCGCTGTAATATCGGGGGTTATTCATTTTCCGGAAGACTCGCCGTTTGATAAGGTAGAATTTTAGGAACATGATTTTGGTTGTGATGTTTAGTTTTGATCGTTTCAGAACCTGCATGATCTGATCCTTTTTATATTGAAATCGAACCCCACGGAGAGGCCTTTCATAGATGACGTCATAGCTAAAGTCACCGAGTTTCAAAGAAAAGTCGAGAACGCCGTGTAAATTCGGGTCAATATACTTTTAAAATATTTTTTTTTTTGTACCATTGTAAATAAGTCACCCTTTTTGGAATTTTTATATTGTTAGATTGCAAGTTTCTTGCATATGCTGTCGCCTTTACACCGACATTTGCATATTACAGTGACGCTGCCGCCTGTACAAATAAACAATAAATTTAATTTATTTAATATATTAATAATTTTTAAAAATAATTTTAATTTAGTTTTCTTTAATTTCAATCAGGAAACAGCCGCTGAACTTAGCTCTCTAAGTAATCACAGCAATCTGTCGTTAGCACGCCCGTCAAACCCACAAGAAACTAACACTAAAAATAATTGAGAATATAATTTTTTTTAATCATTTATGTTCTTACGAAGGTAAAAATTCTGGGGCAAAGTTCACCAACTGACCAGATATTTTTCATGGTTTATCTAAAATTAACGCAATTTTGACCGCGGTATCAATGTCATCAGCCCACTGCACAGAAGGCATGTCTGCGGTTCTGCATTTTAATTACCAAACTGGAAACGATTGGAGATGTATTGGAAGCTTTCCACTACTTTTCTCTGTGATTTGAATTGAAGCACAAGAGAATTAAAATATCTAATGAAGCAGCGCCATCTCTTGCCAAGTAGCTTAACGAAGACACTGTCAGCTAGACTACAATGATTATGAGTGGATCGTGTTTTAATATGTCGTACATATAGCTACGACAGATATAGAGGGCTTGTTTATGCTGATAATACAGAAACTTATAAAGCATCTATGAAAAAAATGTTGAGACTTTCCATTCAACATGCGCGAGATATCGATTTAAAGCAATTGCCATGCGCCCAGCGTTGCCAGCTCTAAGAAAATTTTCCTATTTTCGGGAAATTAGAAGAAACGACGTGAGTTCTAGGAAAATTTTAGAGGTTGCGAAAAAAATATCCTAAAATATAAATACCAAGCTAAAAGACAATTAGTGAAAATAATTTCTAATTAAATATTTAGAAAAGAGTTTTGCTACTAGAAAAATTCAAAATAATGTAGAAGAATTTAATAGAATGCTGTTAAGTATTTTCAGATAGCTTTAAGAAAACAAGCACACTCTTCTTCTTTTTAGACCAGGTGCATGAGTCTTCATCAATGATAATTTGGAATCTACAGAAATAATTCTTAAACAATCACATGATTCAGGAATAAAAATATATTTAAAATTCCTTTATTGAATTAAATCGTGAACTGTAATCTGACTATCGCAAAATTCGTTTGTGGCACACAAAATTTAATTAGATTGAATTTAAAAGCTCATCTCCTTTAGATTCTAATGACCTGCTCAAGTTGAAAATATTAGAAAATATTGCTCATGTTTGAGAATTGTAGAAAATATGTATTATTTAGGTAAGAAGTGGAGGACTCAGATGCTCTTTGCAATGACTCTAAAAGTTTTTGGGATTGTGTATAAGATAAAAGCCGGGGAATCTGGTTGGTCATATATTTACTAGTACTAATGTTCAGAGAGTATTTTCTTCATTAAATTAAAACCAAGCAAAACTAAAGTGAAGACACATGAATTAATGGGACCGTTAGGTGTATACAAAAATAATGTTTTCTAAAAAGATGTTGTGTTACAACCTTGAGATTGAAAACTAGTTTTTCGCCAAAATAGGAACTAAAATATCTTATGAAAAGTTTTGATGGATTGGCCAAAATAATCAGCTGTGACTCTGTATTTTGTGTTCAATTGTTACACCTATATAAAGTGTTGATGCTTCTCCCTCTCCTTCGCGGCCGGCGCCGGGAAAAAATCGAGTATGTTGGTTTGCATACCGCATAAAACTAAACATAAACCCCCGGCCTTGAAAGGACACCCTTTCAAACACATTACACTACTACTGCTGAATTTGTAGGTAATGGACAAATCTTCGCAAAGGAGCGCTTTAAGTTGCCTCTCCGGGTCCTAATTGTAGCTACTCTGCAAATTCCATCCTTCCCTGGATGCAAATCTTCGATCCTCCCCAACAACCATTTGCATGGAGGAAGATTGTCCTCTTTGATCAGCACTAGATCATTCTTCTTTAGGGTAAAAAAGGTATAAAATCGTTCGTAAGTTAATAGTGCGTTACTAGCGACACGTTTCAGATGGAATTTAATTGCCTTAATACCGGCCTCCCACAATCCACCAAAATGAGGTGAATGGGGTGGAATGAATTGTTGCAGGGCGATAAGCACAAGCGAAATTCGTTATTTGTATCAACGTTTGCCAATAAAATAAGTACGTACAAAATAACCGGCCGTTTATTATACAGAAGTTACAACACACAACCTTTCACATGACGCCCACACGACAGTCAAGTACAGAGACAAGAGAATCAAAATATCTACGGTACTGAGAGGCAAAGATAAAGAGACGTAAACGCAATATGTATTGCATATTACTTATACAAATAAATGTACCTAACACGCAAAGTATTGTATTCCAACATTCTCCCTCAATATTTGCGTTACATAGGCGAGTACAATAAGATACGACATTTTAGTCCCATTTTAAGCTAAATTACAGCTAAATCATTGCAAGCTTAGTTTACCACATAAATATAAGTGTTTATTACTAGCCAGACCTTTTGTAAGTAAGTCGGCTACCAAGTCATTAGTTGACATGTATAGAAAAGTAACACTACCATCTCTAACTTTTTCTCGTAAGAAATGGTATTTAACATGTATATGTTTTGTACGCTTGTGAAATATTTGATTTTGGGCTAATTTTATGGCACTTTGATTGTCATTATATACTCTACATGCCTGTGATACATTTAAAAATTGACACTCACTATTAGTAGTGAAGAGCTCATGAATCAAAGATTTTAAATACAATGCCTCTTTTGTAGCCTCACACATACCTATATATTCTGCCTCTGTTGAGCTGAGTCTTTTGTTTCCTGCTTTCCCACGATATTGGGCCACTGGTTAAACAAAATACATAACCATAGTATGACTTACGATCTAGACTATCGTTGGCCCAATCAGAATCAACAAATCCTAACAAACCCGTGCGGCTTTGCCTAAACACGATACCAACATTTTTTGTGCCTTTCAAATACCTAAGTACCCTCTTAGCTGCTAGCCAATGTTCCTTAGTGTGATTTATATTAAACTGACTCAGATAAGACACAGGAAAACAAATATCAGGTCGAGTACAAACACACATAATAGAACCGATTAACTGTTGATAGGGAGCATGATAGTAGTCTCTACAATTAGAGAATTTTTTACTACAGTACTACAGTCAGTCATTTGAAAATGTTCAAGCAATTTAGTTATATATTGCTCCTGACTTAATTTTAATTCATTTTTGGTACGATTTCTTTCTATTTTCATGCCTAGACAGTAAGATATAGGCCCCAAGTCTTTGATTTCAAAGTTTTTATGCAATTCCGATTTTAGCACTCTAATTTCTTCGAAATTATTATAAACAAGAAAAAATCGTCAACATACAGAGCCACGATGACAATGGAGTTATCTGTAACTTTAAAATACAAACAGGGTTCAATCTCAGACTGCACAAAGTCTAATTTTTGCAAAACTCTCTTTTTTCTTTCTCTTTAACAAGGAAACTTTATTTTCTAAACCAGGCTCCTCGAAGCCATCAGGTTGACACATATATATTGTTTCATTCAGGTCACCATTAAGGAATGCAGTTTCAACGTCAAGATGATCAGCTTCAAGATTCAATTCAGCTGCCATTGCAAACAAAAGTCTCAAACTAGAAAAACGGACAACAGGGGAAAAGGTTTCAGTATAATCAACTCCATATTTTTGAGTAAACCCCATTTGCCACCAAACGAGCTCTATATGTTGCAATTTGGCCGCTCTGATCACTTTTGATTTTAAACACCCACTTATTTCTAACAATATTGGTGTTAGCTGGCCTGTCAACTAATTCCCAAGCATTATTCTGTCTAAAAGTATTAAGCTCCCTTTGGATAGCTAGAATCCATTGACCTTTATTTGGTGTAGACAATGCTCCGGAAACAGTCTCTGGCTCTGACTCTACATTTAAAGATAACATAGCAAAATCAATATCTGAATCAGATGAGTCGGTCAAAACATATTCGTTAAAAAACGTCGGCTTACGAGAGATTCTTTTTGGGTACCTTCGGTCCTCAGTAACATTCACATCACCATCAGGAACCTGTTGCACATCACTCATTCGCCGTTCCACAGCACCTGCCTGTCCAATTACAGCAACTGTCCCGTCATCATACGGTACACCATTTTTCTCCAATTTTTCTGGGGAACTTGCTGAAGAACTGTCTTCTTTGTCAACTAGAGTTCTCTCTGCATCTTCAAAAAGTTCGCTCTCGGAAACATCACTTGCCGCATCATTAGTCTGCCGAAGAAGTTCTACAATACCATTTTTGCGGTCCATTCCAACTTCTGCACCCTCCAGTGGCATGGTAATAACGCCGATGTTCTGAGAACTTGCTTGATGTTCTAAACTCACAGTTTTCTGTTCCAAAAATATCACATCTCTTGCAATTCGAAGTTTGTGAGTAATGGGGTCAATTAATCTATATCCTGCAGTTACATCAGAATAGCCAACAAATATATATTTCTTGCTTTTCTGTTCCAGTTTCCCTCGTTTTCCATCAGGGTCACGAACAAAGGCTGTACAGCCAAACACTCTAAGGTGACCAAAATCAACCTTCTTGCCTGTCCATTTTTCCTCTGGAGTTTCTCCCTTGATCCTTTTAGTTGGTGATCTATTTATAAGATAGACAGCCGTGTTCGCCGCCTCCGCCCACATCTGGCTTGGACAATTTGTATCAAACATCATTGAGCGCACCTTATCCATTATTGTGCGGTTGTAACGTTCGGCTACACCATTTTGTTCCGGTGTATAAGGAACCGTCAGCTCATGTTTTATACCTCTTTGTTTTAAAAACTTGTCCAAATTCTGATTGCAGTATTCACCACCATTATCAGTTCGTAATATTTTTATTTTTCTTTCTGTTTCATTTTCGACTTGAACACAAAACTCTTTAAAGCAATCTGCAACTTCATCTTTACTTTTAAGAAAATAACAGAAAACTTTTCTTGTGTTATCGTCAATTAGTGTAAAAATATATCTAGCACCACTCCAGGACTTTATTTCTATAGGTCCCATTA